ATTGCCACCAAACTTTTTCGAAAACGATTGTATGACTTTCTCCGCAGCCAGAGGACCCGGTATGGATATCGCGAGGTACTCGTTCAACGAAGAAAGTTCCTTGTCAACTTTCGTTGCATTCTTAGTGTTTGAATCCTCCAGTGCCTTGGAAAGACGCTCCAATTTCGCGTCGAGTATCCCGATCAAAGCTGAACAGTGGGGATTGGGTACCGTTTTTTGGGGCTCTCCTCTTGGCCGCGGTATGCATTGCACCCTTAACGTAGAGGCAACTGGCGCAGACAAACGGGTCAGGAGAGTTAGCTAGTCGGCTTATCTGGTCGTCCTGTAAACCCGTGCGTTTAAAGTGCCACCAGACCTTGCAGGTTTGGCATTTCATACCGCGTTTGACGTTCGACGGGCAGCCATTTCGTCCACATCTGCTGTGGTCCATCACTGGCTGCAGCGGGCAATCGGTGTAAATTGATGTCATGTTTAGGATTAGGTGTAAAATAGGAAGTGTGCGCACAATATCAAGGGTTATCTCTCAAATGTTTTGTTAAAGTAAAAAAATTCAACAGTTACTCGTGTGTACTCTGCGAACAGATTGAACAACGAAAAATTCTTTCGCGAATTTGTACGAGGGAAAAACGAAACCGATTTCGAACGTACCGCGTACTGTGCTGGATGTGAACTAGTTCGTATAAGCTCTACCAACTTTTGAGTGTCTTCCCTGACGGAGAAGCGGATTGACTGGGGATCGAACTCCGACTCCCTCGGACGGAAGACGAGCACGCTATTCTTTGCGACAACTCAAGTCATCGTAGCCCTACTTTCCGTATTAATTACAGCTTACCTGATAGTCTTTGTTCAGATCTCATAAAACGGACCTAAGCCCAAATAAACGGAAACCTCCTGTGAGCGAAACCATCAAGGATCAGAATGGAGTATCAATCTTGAATAAAGAAGAACGCCTCGACCAGTGGGGCTAATATATTAGGTCCGAAGTATACTTCGGACAGCAATTATCGTGTTCACCACCTGTCACTCATCTGGGGCCCACAGTTGACGTAGAACCATGGACGATGGATGTGGAGCCCCCTATGGCCTCAGAGGTTTACGGCTGCATATATTCCCTCAAGCGCCACCGAGCTCCTGGTCCGAATGACCCACCCGTATTGTTCAAGGATGGAGGTGGTCCCTAGACAGCGCTTGTCTGATCTGTTTGCCTGCATTTGGGATAAGAAGACAGTTCCAGAAAATTGAACGGAGTAGATTGTTGCTGATTTAAAAAATAGGGGCCCGTAGTGTGGTAGTGCAGATGAGTGAGCTTAAAGCCAAGACTGATATGTTCTCCTTGACACGCTTGCTCATCAAGGAATGCGCGGAAGTTTGGGAATAGTACGTCTTTTGTCTTCTCTGACTTCCTCGACCTAAATCTACCATCTCGACGCGGTGGTCGCGGTTGAATGCTGTAATGATCCCGCGGGGTACGCTGGCTGGAAATCCTTTCCACAAGGTGCAACCGTACCAGGAAGGAAAAGGTAAAGCGGTCAGACCAAGTTCAGCGAGAACCCATACTACGAGTGCTCGTACTACAATGCTGTCTGGGGCTAAAGTCGTACCGTCCTCTGTGAGTGTGAAAGCAGTAGAATGTCCCCTCAGACGAACAGCATGTCCATATTCATGTGAGCAGCGATGCTACCTTCCTCCGAGGAAGGACGGGTTGAAAAAGATCGGCCCCAAAAACCGCACACCGATCACCCAACGGTTGACCATGACCGCCGGCTCATTATTCAATACGGTCGAAATCCTTTTAAAACCTGAGAGTCCGGTGCTGCTCAAAATGCACCTGCTGTGTGCAGCCGCATCAGGAGTGAGACAACAGTACTCTACTCCCTTCGCCCTCGGGTTGGACCAAACCCTGCAGCCGATCAGGTCAGACTATTGAATCATTGGCTCCGGGCAAGGTCCCCAAGGAAAACCCCACTGCCCCTTGCATCGCGGGTCAGACTTTTGAGTCAAAGTCCCTAGGTGGGGTACCTGAACCAAACGCCGTTCATCGGCCTGGGCAACTGGGAGGTTTCACTTGCTCGCACAGTTCTGTGTTCACCGACGTCCCTTCTCAATACATTCCCACCACACATGCAAACGTCGCTGGGTTATTCGACTGTCAGTTATCTGACCGAATGGCCTTATACTCCCGACAGCCTATTAACAGTAAACAAAAAATAACTTTCTAAATCCACGAGATCCTTTATATATGGGAGCTTTTAGCGTCCGTACTCTATGTCGAACTGGCAATCAGGCGATGTTCTCCGAAACCTTGCACTTCCTTAAAGTTGATTTATGCTGTGTCTTCGAAACACGCATACAAGACCTAAGTGCGTTTATGCGTCTCAGATCGCCGAGGACGAGCTCAAATCTTTCCTATTTCCTCCTCCCTTTGATCCAGAAGCGATGACTCGTGGAATATATGGTGTGGGAGTTACATTCAGCCTCGGAGCTGAAGGTGCTTTGCTGGATTGTATCCCGGTCTTTGCGCCATCCGGTTATCCGGCTAAATCAAGTCCAGTGCTTCTCGACATGAAAAGGAGTGCCTTTTATGGTGTCGATTTATACCTTAGTGGACTGCAGTTCTAATACGGAAGGATGTTTTTTGCAGGAAGCTATTCGGGCTTATTCGTGAAGCAAGAAGCACTGAAATGACACTTGCGGGCGATGTGGACCAAGTCGGTTCTCTGAGCTCTGTGCATGCCTGACAGTCCTTTTTCCCTCAGGCTCTTGCAAGTCAGAAACAAGCATGCCAGGCCACCATCTTCATGGAACTACCCTAGCTCAATACCATCGATCTGAGCTAGCCCGACAACTCTCCACAGTAAACCAATACTGGTGGGGGTGAGCATGCAGATTAAGCGTTGCAAAACGTGAAAGGAGCTACGTTAGCGGCGTTCAATCATCCTCATCATCGACAGCATGACATCAGTGTTCAACACACCGATGCTTCACTGTCTGCCCGACTTCTCCAATTCGGCCACAAGACCGCTGGATATCGTTGAGATCGCTATTTATGATTGATGCCAGGAAATCCATACCAGCAGGCAACGAGTACGGCGGGGCGCGCAAATCTCCCAAATGCCAAATAGTGAAGAGCCTAAGGAATGACCGAGAGCTCAGTTTGGACGTCAAAAGCTCGCGATATGGAGATGACTTTTGCTACCGAAATTCAACTTTGCCTTACAATAACTGACACGATCGAGTGGCCCTAGGAAAGCTGCAGTCAGTGAAACGATAAGTGAAAAAGGTGGCTCACTAATTCACTCACAGAAACGTCGAAAGGAAAAATTGGCCGAACGCTTTGAACAGTTTGGGTGGCCTGCGACCAAGCCTATGGATACAGTGCATACGGGAGAATGTAATGTAAACCTGTATCTGTATCTGCATCTAATCCTGTTCAAAGAGGGCGGAGAATCCCTGGTGACTCACCTGATAAAACTTATTAGGGCAAAATGGAACGAAGAAAAGGTGCCTCCAGATTGGGGCACGTCGACAATTATCCTTATCTTCAAGAAGAGTTTACCTGTTTCTGTTTGCATGTTTGTCTACCTGGGCAGCTGTATAGGTTCCGGTGGACTAGCTGAGATGAGAGTATTTCTCGAATCGGAAAGGCCAGGGCAGCTTTTGCCAACCTCCGACACCTGTGGCGGGGGCGTGACGTGGGTTGGTCTGCCAAGGGAAGAGTTGGCACCACCACAAAGGACCAACATCTCCACATTTTAAGGAACAGCGCTGCTGCGTTCTCTTGAGAAGAGGTTGTCGCTCTGTGGTTGACTCAAGATTTAAAAAATCGTTCACCTGTAGCACCCTTCGGTAGCTAACTGTCATGCCACCCGAAGGAAGCACGAAGGTTGGGATACTGTTCCGTTGCCCAAGCCTAGGAAGGGGAAACCGGCTAGGATGGGGGAACCGGGAGGCAGAGGTCGGGTTCGAACCACTGACCTTCCGGTCAGTAAATTTGTGTTCTAACCACTGACCCACCTCGCCTACGAATTATTTATTACCGTCAAGAAACAGTTCATTCATATCAAGAGCCATGCAGATGCAGCTCCAAACTTATCCGCCATGTGCAGCAGCATCCGAAACGAGATTTGTGTCCCAGTGCCCGTGCCCCCAGATTGAGCCAACACCCACAGCCAAATGAGTCAGTCTTTTCATGGCTTGAGATAACTCAATGGTTTGGTTCGAACTTATTTCGCTGTTCTCATCACCAGACGCCCTGAATCAAAATGACCATGGCAGGATCATCCAGTTGGTTTACTGTGCAGTAGGTACCTCGCTATGCGCTTGGTGGTGGGTTCGTTCTGTTGAGCTGAGACCCCACCAACATGAATAACCTATGAAATAATGTAGTTAATCTAGGCACTGATTTAGATGCTGCCTAGAGACCTCATTGGTGTGGCTTATTCATGTAACCAGTGGAGCTGTTGTATTATTCAGTCACCACTCCTATTGCACGATCACCGTCTGTCAGTTTATCATTCGCATTAGGCCGGCTCCGCTCGTCTTCGAGTTACTTTTCGTCAGTGTCAGCTGACCCGACCTAAAGCTGCCACCTTGACGTGGTGGTCGGGCTTCAGTGCTGCAATGATCCCGCAGGCTATACTGGCTGGAACTTCGTTCCACAAGGTGCAACCATGCCAGGAAGGCCAAAGGGGAGCAGCCAAACTAAGAGCAGCGAGACCCCATACTACGAGTAATCGTGCTACGAGGCGGTCTGGGGGTAAAGTCGTACTGTCCTCTGCGACAG